CAAAGGAAGACAGCAAGCGTTCAGGACAAGGGTATGCTGAATTGTAATGCAAACCAGAGGTTCTAGAACGAACTCTCATATTTTTATCTTTGATTCTCCATGCGATTCTCTCAGTGAAAATGACCACTGGGCCCTTCTATTCCACTGGGACTGTACTTCCTGTATTCATGAATGAGGCTGACTCTGCCCATATTTATTATGAACCTAACTTTATGCTCAGCACATTCATGTGCATTGCTTTACTCTAAATCAAGTTATTGAAGTATAGTACAAAAATTAGGTTTCATTTCTAGTTCAGAGATGCCCAGGTTTCTTCAGTGGGAGGATCAGGAAGGTGGATGGTTGGAAAAGGGAGACTTAGACAGGGCCATCAGGAGACAAATGCCTTGAAAAATGCTGTGGAGGGGAGGAGAAAGAGGTAAGAATGTGATGGTGAGTCAAAACCACTGCATGAGCAGAAGAAGCAGAGATCAGACCCTGCAGGAAAATGTGATAGACTGGAAAACTGAAGAAGAAAGATGGAAGGACAAAGATGAATGTCAGGATAAGAGGGCTGCCTGGCAGGCAGTGGAGGTTGGCTCAAATGGTAGTGACAGCCTTGAGAGAAAAAGCCAAAAGCTGAGTGTGAGGTCCTGTGTTCAAGCCCTGGTCCTAGAGTGTACACGTGCATGCATGGGCCCATGAACACACACACACACACACACACACACACACACACACACAACAGAAGCACTCACACTGAATTTTCAGCCACAGAATCTGGTGCTAATTTAAAAGAGTTCAAGGAGACTGGGTGCTGGTGACTCATGACTGTAATTCTACCTGCTCAGGAGCCTGAGACCTAAGGATTGCAGTTTGAATCCAGCCCACACAGCAGAAGTTCTTGAGACTCTTATCTCTAATTAACCGCTAGAAAACCAGAAGTGGAATTGTGGCTCAAAGTGGTAGGGCACTAATCTTGAGTATAAAAGTTCAGGGACAGTGCCCAGGCCCTAAGTTCCAACCCCACAACTCACAAAAAAATAATTCATGGAAGACTTTCATCTCTAGTCTCCCTACAAGAAGCATAGATGAAGATGCTTGTAAGGGTGAAGGAATCTGGTCAGGGAAATCTAGACTTGGGAGATAGTATTCATTGATATTGATACTACTAGACAAAGAGCAGCGTCATGTTTAATACCATTTAAAAAACTTCCCACTGTCTACACATGTATGCATACCCTATTTAAGCACTCAAGCAACCAAAAGCTCTTCTTGAGAGAGGTGAATCCCTCAGGCCAGTCACAGTCAAGCATTAATTTCTGCAGGAGGGCAGCGTCCCATGAGACCAGATCATCAAATAATAAAGCTGTCCAAGAAGGCTGCCTTCTAACCATGGGAAAACAACCCTGAGAGTTCCTGGTAATGAGAATTCTTTCGTGCTACTGATATAGAAAGCACACTGAACAGAGCAGAAATCGGCACTGATGGCACATGTTTTCAAGACAATAGTAGAGTATTGTCAATGATCACCACACCCACAGAAGGCTCAAGTTATCCCTCTGCCTAAGGTCCTATAATTGACATGGAACATAGGTTTTGAAGCAGGGATATGTGATCTGCAGGCTTGGGCCCTGCCTTTAAATGAGACAAGGTCCAAGTGAAGAACAATATCCTGATATATATAGATATAGAGATAGATATATCCACAGCCAAGCCTTGAAAGTATGGTAGAAGATCAGGAGGCAGTGGGAACTGGGTTGGGGCTGATGTGAGGGTCTATGGGGAGCAATTAAGCAATTGCAATATAAGTTGAATCAATAGCCCAGTGCAAAAAAGATCTGGGGATACTTAGTAAGAATGCAGTTCGTTGCTGGGTACTGGTAGCTTGCATCTGTAGTCCTAGCTACTCAGGAGGCTGAGATATGAGGATCATAAGTTGAAGCCAGATTTGGCAGAAAACTTTGTGAGACTTTTATCTCCAATTAACTACCCCAAAACCAGAAGTGGAGGTGTGATTCAAGTGGTAGAACACCAGCTTTGAGTGAAAAACTAATGGTCAGTGTCCAGGCCTCTAGCTCAAGCCCCACCATACTGTCTCTGTCTCTTTCTTTGTCTCCATCTCTGTCTCTGTCTCTGTCTCTGTTTCTCCATGTCTTTCCATGTCTCTCTCTCTCTCTCTCTCTCACACACACACACACACACACACACACACACACAGATTAAAAATACAATTACTTAGGCCTCCCACCTCCGGGAGTCCTGCATCAGCCAGGATAGATCATGCATGACAGTTTTCAAAATTTTTTCTACAACGCACATGGAAATTGAATGTGCCATGAGGGGTTGTGAGATGTCGGTCTTTTGTAGGCCAAAGTAGACAGACCAGGTTGCAGTAGATCTGTCTTCTGCAAGGGGTGTGTTCACATCCCTAGAAATGGACTATATTAGCAGGATTCAGGCCCAAGCAGTGTGCAAACATTGTCTTCAGTACCAGATCACTGAGAAAAAAAAATCTCTGTCCCTGGAGCATGGCCGTTCCCCAAAGAGCCTGAGTGAAAAAGGTCAGCAGTCTGGCTGTGTGCATTATGTCATTTGGGCACTCGGTGGGTCATGATGTTGAGTCTTCAGTCCCATGACTTTCGTGCTGGAATTAGTTCTGAGAAGAAGCTGGAGAAGAGCCAAGGCTCTGGAGAAATAACCCTCAGGAACTGTCCTCCTTCCTCTTAGTCTTGCCAGCACTGACTGGGTCCAGAACATACCACATTCCAGCCATCCAGTGCTGACATGAGCTATTCTTTTCTCTTTCAATAAGATTGTATAGGATTGTATTTAAAATTAGAAGTCTGAGGGAAAGTCTTTCAACAGATGGCTACACAGAGAATCTCTTCTATTTCTAGGAAAAGTTGGTAGCTGGATAATGAATTTGCTTGCCTAGAAGGTTACACCACTAATACTGGTTAAGAATCTACAACAGCAATGAGAGAGTAGTCCTTTGTGCTCTGCCCCCACCACACAAGAAGCATCTCTACTGGGGACACTGAGTGGTGATAAGCATCAAGGATGATTTCCTCTACCGGCATGACTCACTGTGTCACCATGGCAGCACCATCTTGCAAAAAGAGGTTCATTGGCCCAATGACTGCTCCTGACCATGAGGGTCAGGGACCATACTGAGCTGGCCTGATCCTCCTCTACTTTTTAAACTTAGGCTCACATGGATCCACCAAAGACAATGAGCGGTTAAAGCACTGGATCATTTCTTCTGATTTCCGAGGCCATAAGGCTGGTTCTGGTTACAGAGCTGCATTCACCAATCACATAAGCCACTCCAATTTTTAATATCTGTCCAGGGTCAAATCAGAGTGGGAAAAAAACTAGTGTTTTAGTTTTTCTGGATTACTAGAGACATTGTTGTACATTTCATATTTACCAATAAGAGAATCATTCAGGGTGAGCCTCCCTAATCAGAAAATCAGAGATTGAAAATATTTTTTAAAAAAGACTTCTCTGGAGAGGAAATAAGAATAGCCAATAGACACACAAAGAAATGTTCAACATCTGGGGCCATAAAATAAATGCAAATGAAAACAACATTGAGATTTCATCTCACCCCAGTTAGAATGGCCATTATCAAGAAAACTAATAATAACAGATGCTAGTGGGAATGTGGCCAAAAGGGAATGCTACTACACTGTTGGTGGGCATGTAAACTTGTTCAACCACTCTTAAAAGGTTAAATATAGAGCTCCCCTATGACCCATGGGCATTTACCCAAATGGCCACAAACAAGGCTACCAGCATAACTATGTTCACTGCAGCATTATTTACCACAGCTAAGATATGGAACCAACCCAGATGCCCCTCAGTAGATGAATGGATCAAGAAAATGTGATATATAGACACAATGGAATTCTATGCTTCCATCAGAAAGAATGACATCATATTAAGTAAAGTAAACCAGACCCAAAGAAACATAGGCTCCATTGTTCTCATTTGTAATAATTAGTACATATCTAGGATAGACCTAGCAGATGATCACAATAGCTCCACGGATATGTACACATGACCATATAAAACAATACTAATTGAAATGAACTACAAGAAATGGAAACAAGAGGGTTTTTGTTTTGTTTTGCATGTACTGTGTGAAGATATTTCTTTTTCATTTGTTTTTTCCCCCTTAGGCTTATCCCCCATTGTCACTGTTTTTGATTTTGGTACCCTGTGTATTGTACATATGTTTATCTGATTTGGGGAAGGGAAGGGTAATAACAAAATGGTGAGACAAAGGACAAAGGATGAACCAATGCAGCAGTGATACTCTAATATACTCTGTTGGAAATGAACTTTACAACTTGAGAGGAAGGTGAGTCAGTGGGAAGGGAAAGTGAGAGAAAATGAGGGAGGAGTTAACACTATTCTACAAGAAATGTATTCATTACCTTACTTATGTAACTGTAACCCCTCTGAGCATCACTTTACGATAAAATTAAATTTAAAAAGTAAATAACGTACAATCTGACATTCTTTGATCATTCACATGATACCACAAGTGAAAAATTCTACATGATGATCTAACCTGACAGGTTAAAACATAGCCACATTAAAATATCCTGTGAAATTACCTGAGGCTATGCATTTAAGTTGTATATGAATCATAAACGAATTTCAAGTGCAGACTTGAGTCCAATACCCAAGGTATCTCTTTACATGCAAATATTCCAAAATGGGGGAAAATCTTAAATCCAAAGAACTTCTCCTAAGCATTTTGGATAAAGTAATCTTCAACCTATGTGTGTCTATGAGTTTCTTTAAATACAACATCACCATTTAGAATGAAACTGGGTAAAACTCAGGTTGAATCACAAATGATAGCTTCCTTCTGAAACACCCTTAGGACAGACCTGCAGACAAATTGTCATATAGTAACAGGCAGCCCTTTCCTGAGGTTTCATGAGGGCCACTCATAAAGAAGCCAAGTCAAACACGGAAGATGAGGGAAAAGACACAATACTTACAAAAACTTCCCATTTGTCTTTGATCCTATCAAGACAATCTGTTCTGACTCATCCCGGGAGATGTTGCCATGGAACCAGGGCATTTTCTCATGGGCAGTGGTAGCAATCAGCTTCTCCAGTTGGGGCTTCTGGCTGATGATGGCTTGTTCCAGAGCCTGGCCCTGCAGAAAGCAAGGATGGAGTGCGTAAGCCAGATAGAGATGGACAAACAGCAATCATGTACAATCTGTCCTAAGGATAGTATAATAGAGCAAAATCAAACCGCATTCATCCATTTACCCATGCTCCATTCATTCAATAAATAAAATCAGTAAGATAAATCACTTGCATACCTTCCACTATAGAAATAACAAGGTAGATTTTGGAATAAAGACATCATTTTGATTTTTTTTCAAAGTCAGGTAAATTTTGGATACCAGCTGACTTAGTACATAAAATCCAGAGAACAGGCATCCTGTTCTGGGCCCTTGAAACCACAGTCAGTCACTCAACTGATGGTTTTATGTTAGGACATGATCATTTCTTAGCCAGCAAGAAGCTTTAAGATGTGAGTAAAGAATGTACATGTAGCCATCACCTGCAGGAGATGGGCTCAGAGTGCAGGTGAGCAGTCTTTACTGTGTGGACATGATGATAATGGGAATCAAAAATGAAAAATGAGGTTGAGAGCTAACTGTCCTGATTTCCTCATCCTTCTTAGAAAAAATAGATTTTCTTGACAGTAACAGATGAAGATCCAGAGCTTGATTATATGCATGTATAAAGAGAACTCAAAAGCCAGGTGCCAGTTGCTCACACCTGTAATCCTAGCTACTCAGAAGGCTGCCATCTGAGGATCATGGTTCATAAGCCAGCCAGGGCAGGGAAGTCTGTGAGACTCTTATCTCTGAATAACCACCAGAAAACCAGAAGTGGCGCTGTGGCTCAAGTGGTAGCGAGTTTGCCTTGAGCTGAAAAGCTCAGGGACAGCACCCAGGCCCAGAGTTCAAGCCCCATGACTGACAGAGGGGGGTGGAGGGAGAGAGAGAGAGAGAGAGAGAGAAACACTCAAGCAGGAAAATAAAAAAAATAAAACCATCTCAGACTTGGAAATAGAAGAGATTGCAATGTGAGCACACTAAATTTTTTTTATCATATTTCACAATGAACTGCTCAATCCTTGATCAAAGAAAAGGTAAGCTAGCATAGGAGGCCCTGAGTTCAAGCTCCAGATGCAACACACAAATACACACACATATTAAATCAACAACAACCTATTTCACAGGTAGAGTGCCAAAGGCATCTAGACTTACGGACACATGGCACCTGGAATCAAGTGAGTGAAGAGGTAGTGTGGATGGCTATGGAGTTCACTTAGACACACAAGAGCCAGCAATGACACAGACAACAACACAAGCAGAGGGTGGGTATGTAACTCTAGGACTCCATGTGTAATATTCAATGAAAGGCAAAGTGTAGAGAAAGAAATTAGATGTCTCACTATCAGGCACTGGGGTGGGAAAGGACAGGGTGGGTACATGATGGAGTAATGGAGTTCCTTTGTGTCTTTATGCTGGTACACAGGACCTTTAGCTCTCACTTGGCTTTTTTGTTCAAGGCCACACCTCTGCCTCTGGCTTTTTGCTACTTTATTGGAGATAAGAATCTCACAGACTTTTCTGCCCTCGCTGGCTTTGAACCTCAAGCCTCAGATCTCAGCCACGGAGTAGCTAGGATTACAGGGGTGAGCCACCAGTATCAATCTTCCTATACATCTCGATTGGGGGTTATATGATTCTTTTCAAAACCCACGGGACAGCACCTTGGAAAAGGATGAATTTACTATATGCAAACTCCTTATATATAATCTTCAAAAATTTGATTCCATTATAATCTGCATATGTCAAATAACACCATCAGGTACACAGAACAGACATCAGAAAGCACAAAGAAAATGGTTATTACGTAAGTCCAAATGGGAAACCAAACCTGTTGGCTTCTGACACCAAATGCTATTAAGAATGTGATGGGGAAAGGAGAGCAAATGTGGTGAAGCATGCCTATAATCCCAACTACTTTCAAAGCCAAATCTAGCAGAAGTTAATAAGACTCTGTTTCAAAACCAAGCTGTATGTGGTGGTACACATCTGTAATTCTAACTACTTGGAGATAGAGATAGGAGGAACATGAACTAAATCTGACTGGGACAAAAGAACAAGACCTTATTTGAAAAACAAACTAAAATCAAAAGAAATAGGAGCATAGTTCAAATGGTAGAGTTACAACTAGCAGGTGTAAGACTCTGAATTAATCCCAGTACAATATATGCACACACACCAGACTCACAGACACACAGACACACACACACACACACACACACACACACACACACACAGACTGAGGATGTAGCTCAACGATAGGACACATGTCTTGCATGCTTAAGACCATTGATTCCCGGCTCTGAAAAAGAAATGGAGGGAAAGAAAAAAAAAAAAAAGACCAGCCATGGTGGTTCACCTTTATAGTTCCAATTCCAGAGGTGGAGGTAGGACCATGAAAACAGAAAAAGTATGAGATAGGCATGAATGTAAATCCTTACTATCTCTTCAACAATTTTATATGGAATTGTCACTATGTCCAAGTCAAACACCCATAGCCTTGGCTGTGGCAGAATTTATCCTTAAGATATACTGTACCATAGATTTCTACAGAATGATGTCCTTAACAGTTATTGATGAATAACAAAATTCAGTAGCCCTGAGTTAAATAAATTACAGTTCCTATCAGGCAGTACCAGACTGCCAAATAAAGGGTAGAGAAACCTGTATGTGCAGACACAGGAGGTTCTGCAAGAGATACCAAGAAGTCATAAAATCCAGTGTGAATCAGTATGTGCCTATAAACATAAACAACAGACACAAGCTAGGCATCAAAAGCTCATGCCTGGAATCCTAGCTATTCAGGAAGCTGGGATCTGAGGATCACAATTTGAAGCCAGCCTAGGCAGAGAAACCTGAGAGACTTTTACCTCCAATTAAGCATTAAAAAAAAAAAAGCCAGAAGTGGAGCTCTAGCTCAAGTGCTAGACTGCTTTAGTTAGCCTTGAGCCAAAAAGCTCAAGGACAGAGCCCAGGTCCTGAGTCCAATCTCCAGGATTGGCAGGAGAGGAGGGGGAAGGTGGGAGGGAGGGAGAGAGAGCCTTATTTGGGTTCACAGAGTACCACTGCACGGGTTTTCAGGAACGGAGTCATCTGGGTGGGATTATGGAGCCTTGTGAACATAGTCTGAATTGCCTACCTGCAGATTCCAGGTCTGCTTTACATACTCCCTGATGAGGTTTTCTTTCAGATCTTCAAAGGGTCCAATCTTGGGTTGCACCCCTGGTGGCCGGTTGAAGGGTTTCTGTAGGAGACAGATGAGGCCATCGGCCTCCTGGGAGTGGTAGTGGCAGAGGTCAGCGGGGCTGCTGTGGGCCCTGCCCCCGGAGATGGCATAGGTGCCGTTGAGCTCTCTCTCGATGGTGTAGTGGTGTGCCTTCCTGCCATAGGCCACCGACAGGGCAAAGCCACCCAGGTAATTGCGACTCTGACGTAGCAGGTACAGCCCATCAGTCATACCTCCCTGGACCAGGTAGTCTTCGGCCTCCTCCCGGGTGATATTGCCAAAAAAGAAAGGTAGGTGATTGGCACTGTCTGCCGCATTGCCCGCCATGCCTGTGCTCCGCCTTCAGGGCGTAAGGGTACACCTGAATGAGACAAACATTGATGACATGAGTGAGAAGCTTGATAAGCAAGGGACATTGCTAAATGCATCAGAGCCCATGCAAGCCTGAAGTGAGTCCTTCCTGCTCAGGGTGGAAGCATTTTCTTCCCAGGACCATCCAATGTGGGTGACCTTTCTACCTATATCATTATTAATACATCCAAATACATAGCATTTGTCAAAAGTGCTGGTACACAGAGTGGTACGGCCGAGCCGGGCTCATGACTCCCTCTGAGGGTAGACAGCAGCGCAGGGACAGAAACCACCCTGAGGGGTGTCCTGTAGAGCATCCACTTAAGTCTCCAATGACATGTGCCTGAATCATAGGAGCTGCTTTCTGCAGTGAGTCCCAGAGCACTGGTCTCATTTATGAGGCCTGTGGTCATCCTAAAGCCTTCTCTGCTCTGCCTAGGGGAAAGACCAGCCAGTCACTGAGTTACATAAAGTGACATTCATCTATTCTGGAAATCAGATGAGAATCTGGCTAGGCAAAAACACCAGACCTCATATTTTAAAAGTAACTAATGCCAGGCAATGACGGCTCACAACTGTAATCACAGCTACTCAGGAGGCTGAGATCTGAGGATTGAGGTTTGAAGCCAACTGGGGCAAGGAAGTATGGGAGACTCTTTTCTTGAATTAACCAACAAAAAACTGGAAGTGGAGTTGTGGCTGAAGTGGTAGAGTGCCCACCATGAGCACAAAAGCTCAGGGATAGTGCCCATGCTGAGTTGAAGCCCAGGAGCCCACATACTAAAAAATAAAAACAAATGAGACCAACAGTGCATGTTTTCTGTCATGCAAGAGCAAGGTCTAAAATACATCAAGACATGATAAATTACATAAGACTCTAGAACTCACACAGTGTTTGACCAAAGGAAGATATTCTTAGGAGAGGAACACAACGATGCCATGCCTCTAAGCCTCTGGTCATACAAAGTAGTATTTATTGAGATAAACTCCAGGAAATGGAAACATAAAATAGATAATTTTTTTAAAAACAAAAAGGGTTGGGAGTATGATTTGACAGGAAGGGGCGTGGCTCATCTAGTAGAGGGTGTGGCTAGACCAATAGGGGCGAGGCTTGAATAGTAAGGGGAGTGGCTCACTAGGCACCACTATCAAATAGTGGCTCAACTGGTAGAGCGATTGCCTAATAAGCATGGGGCCCTAACTTCAAACTCCCAAACTGCCAAATAAATAAATACACACACAAAGCAGACCTCACTTACACACACAGAGCACACATGGTTATATAAAATGGCCGTTTCCTCGTGTGAGTCACCCTCCTCCATGTGGTGCACAGCTAATGACCCCATCTGTCATAGGTAGGGAACAATTAATTCCTCCAGTGCTATCCTCCAAGGTGTATTTGTAGACAGCACCCAAGAAATGGGACAACAAAGGAAAGTACACATCACCCTCTCCGGGCTTGCTGAGTATCACACTCACCAACTCTGTCTAAGTTTCTAAAAGCTCATCTTAACCAGGTTTTGAGTTTAGTTTTTTTTTTAAGCACTGTCTACATTTGTTATCATTTTAGATACACTAATAACAAAAAGACATCTGTGGCTACTTGGGAGGCTGAGATCTTGGTTTGAGGCCAAATACTGAAAAATCTTCTCTCCAATTAACTAGCAAAAAGAAGTGATGTGACTCAAGTGGTAGAGCACTACCTTGGAGCACAAAAGCCAAACAAGAGCATAAGGTCCTGAGTTCAAGCCCCAGTACTGGTGCACACAGAAAAAGCAGCAGAGAGTTGATGTTGGGAGGCACATCTCCCTTCTGGCCCTACCCTTTCTCAATCTTTCTGTGTTTCCTCAGCTGAAGGTTTGGCCCTGCCCTGCCCTTTCCCAGAGATAGCCTGTAGCCAGGCCACATGCACCTCTAAGGCCTCCCCTTCACTTCTGCCATCCATCCACTCTAACTCGGTGTCTCTCAAACTTCCCGTTGCGTGCATTGCATGGGGACTCTGCTACATGGCAGAGACCTGAGATAGTAAAGCTCTGGTTGTCCTGGTGTGGCAGATGCTGGGCACCGATCTATTTGAGACCACTCCTCCATCTGCTGCCTGCTTGTGGACCGAAGCCCTCAGGGGCTCTTGAGGCCTACACTCACTCAGGTTCAATTTCTTTGCTACAGCACCACTTACTGAATTTGAGGACCAGCTCTGGGAAGTGAGCATAGCTTAGCCATGTGTTAATGCCTGGGTGGCTCCTGGTACATGGGGAGATGATGTACAAACTTAAACATACATGCGGATGTATAGGGATCCATTTCTCCCCACCAAGCTTGGGACCTCTCTGTCAGCTGACCTGATATCAGCACTTGGATGTCCAGTAAGCCATCAGCCTTCACAAATCCAAAATGGGGCTTCTATTTTGCATGCCAACTCCTCACTAAATCCCCATATTGTGGAAGGAAACAGTTTCTTCCATACAGGCTTGTGCTTTCCCACTTGAATCACAGCTCCTCTTCTGGACTTTTGCTTAACGATTATAGCGGTAAGAGTCTCTCTGAGTAAGGGAAGACTTTCATGCTGGGGATGGCTTCAAACCATGATCCTTAGATCTTACCCTTTCTGGTTAGCCTGGATTGTAGCCCTAAGCCATTAATGAATGCTTGACTCCTTTCTTTTTCCCAGGCATGTGGTCTCAATTCAACACCTCTCCTTGGGTATATCCTGATGACCAATTTCACACTTAACCTATTTTGGTGGCTTCCTCCATAGCATTTATGCAAGCCTTCTCTTATCCTGAAATACAAACTCCAAAGGATCATAAATTTTGGCTGACTTGTTCATGTTTCAGCATTTACCAGACATCCACAAAATCCCTGCTCAACAGAAGCATGCTGTAGCTTCTTAGTGTCTATGATGAGTATATGTTGCTATCCTACTGAACACGCAAAATATCCAGTAGCTGTGTATTGAGTGTCCCAAAGACAGCTGGCTCACTCAGTGTTCTAGTAGCCAAGTCTTGCAGCTGCCTCAGTGGAGTTTGCTTCTTCCACAAGCTCATAGCTTTCAATGGGAAGGGAACTTGCTTCAGCACGTGCTCAAGGCTTCTGGTGGGAAGTGAGTGCTCATCTGGTTCCAGGCCCAGTCATCCATATGACTCTGTCTGCCCAGACACATAACCATATCTGGCTCCCCAACTCCCTCCCAATGCCACCCCACAGCAACCCTTGAAGTGAAGGCAGTCTCACTTCCGGCTTTTTCTATTTATGTAGTGCTGAGAAATCAAACCCAGGGCCTCATGCATGCAAGGCAAGCGCTCTACCACTGAGCCACCTTCCCAGCCTAGTCTCTTCACTTTCCATTTCAAGGTGTTCATGTCACTTGCCCACCAATGCCACTGACTTTGATGCTATTGCTTGCTATCTCCTTGATCTGTGCCAGTGTTCTACCGATGCCAGCTGTCCAGCAGCTATGCTGGTCTGCTGGACCATTGAGTTTCCCTTTCACATATGATTCACCTTCTAGTCCCTCTATTTACATATTGAAATAATTGCTCTTGCCACCCCTCCCTCCCTTCTGGGGTCCCAACCATTTCTAGCATCTCCCATTACCTTAGTTCATGGCACTCAGCCTAGAATGCTTGGCAGTGGGGCTAGGGATCTCCTGCAGACTGTGGGTAGGGTGGTACAGCTGTCTTGCCCCCTGGAGGCTATTTGGCAGCATCCCTTGCCTCTGCCCACTTCATGCCAGTAGCACGTCAAGCATGACAAGCGCAACCCCAGTCTAGTCTTGGTCAAGAGTTCCCTGGGGACAAACCTTCCCCTGGTTTGGAAATGACTGGGTGAGCCCCCGTGACCCAAGCATCGATCTGACCTGTGCCTTCAAGGATTTCAGTTCCTTTTCCAGCTTATCTTTCCCTTATCTAACTTTCTAGCATCTTCACCAATGAATAGAGGATGAGAGAGTGTTGTGGAGGAAGTCCCAGGGGTAATGTGTCTAGAAGGCAGCAAAGCTAGAGATGCAGGGCAGAGGATGAGGTGGGCAATGTGGATGTCCTTTCTGAGTCTTTGTAGCCCTGGCACCTGAGTACCATAGCACTTCTCCAGGAATTTAGATGACAGCAGTACCAAAGCCACGGAAACGAGAGTCCCAGTCATGAATGCAGAATGTGGAGTTACCATGGAAACTGGTCTCCCAGGAGCAGGAACTCTGAATAGAGCAAAGGAGTACGTGGTGGTGGGATGCTCAGGAGAAAGGAATGGGCACAGCCTACCCAGGAGGAGGCTGAGTGCTTGCAAGGGAGGGAGACTGACGGATATGCCTACCCAGGAGGAGGCTGAGTGCTTGCAAGGGAGGGAGACTGACGGATACGTCCACAGAAGAATGTGGACAGTGGAGGCTGTGACTGAGCCAAACATGATGCTCCTTGCTCACAAAGCCTCTCTAGTGTCACATAGAATATACTGTAAGACTTGAATGTAGAAACCAGATGCTGCTGGCTCAGGCCTCAATCCTAGCAACTCAGGAGGCTGAAATCTGAGGACTGACCTTTGCAGCCAGTCTAGGTAGAAAAGGCTATGAGATTCTCATCTTCAAGCAAATAGCAAAAAGCTAGAAGTGAAGCTGTGACTCAAGTACTAGAGCCTCAACCTTGAGTGAAAAAAAAACTAAGGGATAGTATCCAGACCTTGAGTTCAAGACCCACTACCAGCACAAATGAATGAATGAATAAATAAATATAAATAATAAATATAGTTGAAGTGCTGCTGTTTTTATGAGCACTGGTTCTGTTAGCTGCCCTGAGAACTGTACCAGGTGCCAACCCTAATCTTGTAAAATGAATTCCTGGGAATGCTAAAGAGCTCCAGGTATCCAGGAAGCACTTTCAAATTTGGTTTCAGTTGTACTATATCATTTTCCACTAACTACCTCCCCCTGAGCTTCCTTTCCCATGGACACTCACAATCCATTTCCCCAGGCCAAAGACTAAGGATGATCTTTGCCCTTCAAAATGAATTTAGATT